CTGCACCGTCAAGACGGTTTGCAAGAACCATTTTAGCTTCAGCCTTCGTCGGTGACCTGGAGAGGCCGGCGAGGGGTGCGCTGTTACGTCAGGCTGGAAACAGCCTCTCAGTTCCTTCGTAGCTTTGATTTATAAAAGAAGAGGCTCAGGTAAGGGGAAGGGCCCCAAAAGTACATAAAGACACTGCAAAACCTCAGTAATCTGCAGGTTATTTTCCATTCGGGGTGGTCAGTAGCATTTCTTTCATAGATACAGGCAAAACTGTATCATGTCAAGGGGATGATCTCAGGACAATGCGGGTGCGTGAGAAAGGGGCGGACTGAAAATAAGCCCTGCATGTACGGCATCAGCATCTGGTAAGGGCTCCTCTTTTAGGGTTGCTGCTTTTTCTTGTAGGTAAAGTAAGGATGAGTTGGCCAAATTGAGATCAGTGACTGAGAGGCGGGGAGGCAGTAGGTTTTATGGCAGGTAAGCGAGAGGCATTTGAGTATGGCCCATGTTGGTTCTGAAGAAAGCTAAGAGCTGGCTGACCTGCAGGGGCCTGAAGTGGGCCCACCAGCAGTTTGACAGGTATTGCCTGGGTGGTGCGGGTCATTTTGTAGTAATTTTTCTCCATTTATACAGCATCTTTGGGGAAACAGTTTGTCCTCTTGGGGAAGGTAGAAAGTGTAGATAGTATGTACTATGTGTCATGAGAGAAATAAAGTATTTGTAGGTTTTGGGAAAGTTTGTGCAGGAAGCGTTGTGTGTGATATTGTGCTGGGAGTGGTCCTCCTCCTGGGCATCTTCTTACTTAGTGCAGTTTTGTACATGTCTACTCAGAAGTAAGATCCATTGAATTTAATCTGGCTCACTTCTAGATAAAATGGGTGTAATATTGCATTCTCGATTGGCTAAAAGGAAAGACTCTACTTATGTCTTTGGGGGGTGGGGGTTGGACTAGGTGACCTTCCAGCTCTGTTGTTCTGTGTGAATGGTATTGGTTACTGGATGGGTATCTGTAATGCGGATTGGTGGCTTGAGATGTAAAGATTCCATATGGCGGTTCCAGTGAACAGATGAATCTGGAACTTGGACCAACATTCAGCCACTGACAGCATCCAGCTGCAAGATACTAGTGTAGTTGGAATTCACCACCACACAAAATAGCATGCTGTACGCGTGCTGCCAAAGTAATGTACCTGTGGAGCACAGGCCCTTAAGAGCTGTAATTTTTCCAGCATTTTGGCGCTTGCATGACTGTGGAAAGCCCTAAGCACAGGTTAAACGAAAAGTATTTTGTGTGTGGGTGCATCCCAGATCGAGGGCTCCAGGTGCTACCAACTGAAAGGCGTTGTGCAGCTATTATGTATATTAAAGACAGAAGAAGCAGTGCAAAACCACAGGAGGGTTATGAGTGGAAGGCAGCAATGACATCAGGCCCTCCCCTGGAAAAGTTTGTGGAGCAGGTCAGTGGCACCATTAAAAGCCTTGCCTGGAAGCATCTCGCCTATTGTATTTACTAAAGCGGTGTACATGCGCCTCCCTAGCCGTGCACCAGCCCTGCCCATCGGGGCTTTCCCTGCTGTTAAGCAGAGTGAGGCAGCTGTGTCAGAGAGCAGATGCTGGGGCACGGAGAGCAACAGTGGCGGCTCGCCATGGCTGGGTTTCCCAAGTCTGGCCAGGCTGCACATCCAACACAGCTTGCAGCCCTCTGGTGTGCCAAGGACGCCGTCCCGTCGGCACAGTCTCGGTGAGATTCAGCTGCCATCCCGGTGACCCTCTGTATGTGGAATGTGGTAGGGGTCCCTCAAGCAGCGCCCTTGCGCTAAACGGCTCAGGGGCCGGGTGTATTTCTGCATGCAGGACGTCCCAGGTTCCCTGCTAGTCGTCTCCAGCTAGGAGGAGGAAAAACTTTGTCCTGCCTGAAACCCTGGGGAGCCTCTACCAGTCCCTGCTGATAATACTGAGCTAGATGGACCAGGGCCTGACTCAGGAACTGGGTTAAGACCACATGATAACCCACACTTAGGTCGAGTGTGAGTTGTCACTGAACCTTGGGTTGTTGTTGAAAGGTGGGTTGTCATATTGTCTGGACACAGCCATACTAACAAACGGTGATTTATTAGTTACAAATAACCATGAAGAGAACCCAGGGTTTATTGTCATGTTGTAAATTGAGGATTGTTTGTGTTTACAAAGCATGATTTATTACCTCAGCTGGTTTTGGACCCTACAATAACCCACATTGAAACAACAATCCACAACTTAATACCAAATCTTGCCAGGCTAATCTGAGCTCATTTTTAACTGGGTAACTTCCCTTGTGGACTATGGGAATGTTGTGGACATAATATACCTTGACTTCAGCAAAGAGTTTGACAAAGTGCCCCATTGTGTCCTGATTAGCAAACTAGCTGAAAGTGGACTAAATGTAGTAACTCTCAGGTGGATCCTGAGAGTTGGCTACAGAGCTGGACTCAAAGAGTGCTCATCAAAGACACCTTCTTGGACTGGGAAGGAGTGACAAGCAGGCCCAGTGCCTAATTGTGAGACCCAAGACTGGCACTGTGTCAACATTTTAATCCATCATTTGGATGAGGAGAATCAAGGACTGCTTGTCAGATTTGCAGATGATACAAAATTGGGTGGGATAGCCGATACCTTGGAAGACAGAAACAAAACCTGTCTGTGTGGTTGTACGCCACCTAGGGAGCTCCTTTGATCTGTTCAACAGCTTATAAATGTAAAAATAAATAATTAAAAATTCAGAGTGATCTTGATAGGCTGGAGCACTGGGATAAAAGCAGCAGAATAAAATTCAATAGGAACAAATGCCAAGTTCTACACCTAGGAAAGGTGAACCAAATGCACAATTACAAGATGGTGGGGGGATATTTGGCCCAACAATAATATAATATAAACAAGAAGGTCTTGGAATTGTTGCCGATCACAAACTGAATCACCAATGTGATCTAGCTACAAAAAAAGTCAATGCTATTTTGGCCTATATTAAGAGAAGTATGATTTCCAAACCACATGAATCAGTTCCCCTTTGCTCTGCACTGAAAAGGCCTCAACTGTAGTAGGGGATCTAGTCCTGAGCACCAGAGACAACCCGGAAAAGGTCCAGAGGAAGGATACAAAGATGGTGTGACTGAAAGCAAAGTCCTATGAGGGAAACTGGAAGAACTGGGCATGTTTAGCCTTCAGTAGAGAAAAGTGAGAGGAAACAGTATAACATTCTTCAAGTACTTGAAAGGTTGTCACACAGAGGAGGACAAGTTCTCCATTATCTCAGAATACAAAATACCAGGCTGAAGTTACAGGAAACCAGATTCCAGCTGGACTTCAGGAAGAACTTCCTGTCTCTCAGAGCAATGCACAATGGAACCAATTCCCTGGAGAGGCGGTGGGCTCTCCACATGAAAGGCAATCAAGATGCAGCTGGACAACCATTTGAGATGGATGGTTTAACTCACTGGACTTGATAGCCCTCTGGCCCCTTCCAGCTCTGCCATGATTCTAACCCATCCTCAACCCTTTTCAGGTTGTCTGATCCCAGTCAGTCTGAGGCCACTTCCTCGGTTCCTGCGAGCGGGTGCACTGCATCCTTGTGGGCCCTGAGCCACTCCATGCGGGAAAGCGGGTCAGCACTGCCTCCAAGCACTGCACTGTATGGCAGTCATGAATGCCAACTGTTCTTAGATAGAACGGCAACTATAGGCTTGCTCTGCAAAACCTTCCCCCAGCTCTTTGGGCCACAGCTTGAAAGTGAAGCTGTCCTCTTCCTCTGCACAATGCCAGGCGAGTTGCTGTTTCTTGGTTTTGCTGGTGTGTGTGGTCTGCAGAGAGATGGCCTTTTCTAAGTAGGTTGCCTATAAAGTTCAGCTTGCACTGGGGCAGCTCTTGCATTGCTGTTAAACGTTTCCTGCAACATCTGGTGCAATTTTTCAATGGGTAGCTTTCCCCACCCTGGTGCTTAATAGATAAATTGAACTTCAGATCCCATCAGCTCCAGCGAGCATAGTGAATAGTCACAAATGCTGAGAGTTGTAGTCCCTAGAGGGCACCAGGTTGGGGAAGGATTCAATGAGGGGTTTTCTTAAAAGAAAAATCATAGAATCATAGAACAGTAGAGTTGGAAGAGACCAGAGGGCCGTTGGGTCCAACCCCCTGCCCAGTGCAGGATTCCCAGTTAAAACATCCCTCTCAGATGGCTGTCCAGTTGCTCCTGAATGCCTCCAGTGTGGGAGAGCCCACCACCTCCCTAGGTCATTGGATGCATTGTCATATTCCTCTAATAGCCAGGGATTTTTTTCCTGATACTTAGCTGGAATCGGGCTTCCTGTAACTTGAGCCCATTATTCTGTGTCCTGCACTCTGGATGATCAAGAAGAGATCCTGTCCTTCCTCTTTATGACGGCCTTTCAAGTACTTGCAGAGTGCTACCATATCTCCCCGCAACCTTCTTTTCTCAAGGTTAAATATACCAAGTTCTTTCAATCTCTCCTCATATGGCTTTGTTTCCCACTCCCAGATCATCCTTGTTGCCCTCCTCTGAACCCTTTCCAGCATGCCTGCATCTTTCTAAAACTGTGTGGCCCAGAACTGGACGCAGTGCTCCAGATGAGGCCTAAGCAGTGCTGAGTAAGGGCATACTAGTACTTCACGTGATTTGAAAGTGGTATTTCTCTTAATGCAGCCCAAAATAGCATTTGCCCTTTTTTGCAGCCGCATCACAGGGGTGACTCATATTCAGCTTGTGATCAGTTCCAAGATCCTTCTCATTTACAGTATTGTGCAGCCAAGAGTTCTCCATCTTGTAACGATGCATTTGGTTTCTTTTACCTAGATGTAGAACATGGCGTTTCTCCCTATTGAATTCCATTCTGTTGTTTTCAGCTCAGCGCTCCAACCTACCAAGATCACCTTGAACCTTATTTCTGCCTTCCAGGGTTTTAGCTGTCCCACCCAGTTGTCTGTCATCTGCAAATCTGATAATCGTTCCGTGTACTTCCTTGTCCAAATCATTATTAAAATGTGGAAGAGCACTGGGTCCCGGGCTGAACCCTGCAGCACCCCACGTGTTCCCTCTCCCCAGTTTGAGAAGGTCCCACTCTGGAGCACTCTTTGCGTCCTGTCCTGCAGCCACCTGTGGATCCACCTGATAGTTGTTCCATCTAGCCTAATTTTAGCTGGTTTGCTGATCATGATATCATGGGGCATTTTCTCAAAAGCTTTGCTGAATAACTTTCCCACAGCCCATTAGGGAGGTTATCCAATCAAAAAATGAAATCAGATTAGTCTGGCAGGATTTGTTCTTGAGAAATCCATGTTGGCTTCTAATAATTGCTGCATTGTTTTCACAGTGTTTGCAGAATGATTGCTTTATAATCTGCTCCAGAATTTTCCCAGGGATTGATGTCGGATTGATCGGTCTGTAGTTTCTAGGTTCTTATTTTTTTCCTTTCTTGACGAAGGGGGTGACATTAGCCCTTCCCCAGTCATCTGATGCTTCCCTGTCCTGCATGATTTCTTAAAGATAATAAGAAACCATCATGCCTGTCAAGTCACAAGACATGATATGGACTGAGATCTCTCCCATAATTTCAGGCATTCTTCCTGCCGTGACAGACGGCAGAATTCCATCTTGGCCTCCTCTGCCACACTTCTATTCTTCCTGCATCATGACACTCCCTCAGGTAGGTGGTTTTCCAGCAATGGGCAGGCCTGTTCTGTGGAAGGGCCATAAATACAGAAGCAGTAAAAGAGAAACGGGTGCCTTATTACTTCCCTTCTGCTTATGTGAAGGAAATGGAGCACCCAGAACAGCTTGCCTGGGAATGTGGAAGTGTATAGTACAATCCCAATTTAACCCAGGTTTTAACTGTCATGGCTTCCTCAAGAAACTCTGGGATTTGCCGGTGGGAGGGGAAGCTGAACATCCTGTTGCCTGGGCCACTTGTGACTGTCCAGATGCTTTGGCCTACAACCCCCATCATCCCTCACCATTGGCTCTGCTGGCCAGGGCTGATGGGGGTTCCAGGGCAAAACATTTGGATGGCCACTGGTTGACCATCTGTGCCTTAACACTTTCACAGCAGAATAAATTGCCAAGTTCAGAGAGTGCTGAGGGGAAATCATGTAAGGCTCTTGATCTACAGGCATTTTCTGCCAAAGGGATCATTAAATGGCTCGCAGAGAAAGTGGTGGAGTTTTTCAACATTGTCGATATCAGTTATGAAGCTGCTGGAATCTGATTTTTAATTCAGCAAAGCACTTCTTGAAATTTGATTTAGGGATGCAAACCAGCCAGCAAGAAAACCAAGCCTGACACAGAAGTTCTGTGGTAGCTCACAGGATGTTTTATAGAAAAATTAGAAATGTTGGTTGTGACTAGATTAGTAAAAAGGAACTTGTAATGTGTAGCATTTTCATTTAGTGTGTATGCTTGAGCTGCTTTGCCCATTTTTACATAAATGCACTTAAGTTTCCAGTTCAGCTGGGCCCATTAACCTCCCTTCACTGGGCCTGCTGAGAAAAGAGAGGCAGAAGAGCAGAACATCTGAACAGAAGAGAAAGCCTGTTGCGGAGGCCTGGTGGTTGCTCTTTCAACCAGTCTTAGCAGCAAGTAGAGTCTTATCCCACTCTGTCTCCCAGTAAACACTGGAGAAAACAGAAAGCGATCGTTGTTTGAGATCCCTCTGAAGCAGCAGTGCTGAACTTCTTCCAGTGCAGGGCATAAGTCTGCTTTTAAGAGTCTTTCAGGGGCTGTGCTGCAGCAGTGCATGGGGCCAAGAGAACAAGGTGGGGCACCAAAAGCATATCTAGCTTGGAGCATTTACTGCCAGCAACTAAGCTTGAGAAGAGGTGTTTCAACCAAAGTTGGAAATCCCCAAATAACCAGTCCTTACGGGGGAAGGGGTATGACCGGGAAAGGGGTGTGGACACCTGGGGAATCCAGGTGGGCTGGCTTTGGCCTCCAGGCCGGAGGCTCAGTGGCCCTGCACTGGAGAATGCCAAGCCTTGGCCTTTGATTGCACTGAAGCCCCAGAACATTTGTCAGGCAGGCAGCCGTGATTTTTGCAACTCTCCAGAGATTTGGTGCTGTGGGATTGCAGTTAGGAATTCACTGTGTCGACCCTTTAAGGTGCAGGTGGCCTTTGAAGAGGTGGCCGTGTACTTCACAGAGCCGCAGTGGGCCTTGCTGGACTTGAGGGGAAGAGCCCTCTACTGGGAAGTCATGCAAGAGAACTACGAACATGTGACTTCGCTGGGTAAGCCCCCCCACCCCTTCTGAATGACCTGGAGACTTGCATTTCTCAGATGCCTGCAGGCTCCCATTAAAGGGATTTGATCAACCTGTGCTGCCTGGAAAGAAACCAGGTCCTTTATAACCCTGGATGCCCTGCAACAAAGCATAGTGAGACATTTATTTTACTACCTAGCTCATTCCATTGTTATCCTAAGCCACTGGATATGTCAAAAACAATAGGCAGAAGCCAATCAAGTTAATGGATGTTTAAGTCAAATTAATGACAGCATAAATAGTAATCCACATGATGACGCTTTGTGGAGGGGAAACGTTTCCCTCTGTCTTTTGCTCTTTTAAGTCTGGATTAATTATATACTTCATTTTTCCCATTGATAGCAAACATGGCTTAAATGTGCAAAAATGTTATTTCACTTGTCTAGCATTCCTTGAAGGTAGGTCACAATTATTCCTGTTTCTCAGCCAGAGAAGTGATGCTAAGAGTTATTAGTTGCCCAAGATCATCCAGGTGGTTTCTCACTGAGGTGGGATGAGAATACAGGATCAAATCCACTTCCGGAGTCCCCTGCATCCTTATCTTTCAGGAAGTCCCGTGTATGGGGAAACAACCTGAAGGTGCCTGCTGGCTTCTGATGGGCCTCATCAGACCCAGGTTGTACACCCCATGCACAGCCCAAGCTGGGCTCTGTGTTTTCGTTGTGCTAGCATGTGGCCGCGTCTTAGGAAATTGCTTTTACATACATGCATTATGTACCGCATTGGGATGGGATATCCATGTCCTTCTCAGGTTTTCAACACGTCTTCCAGCTTCTGGTCTGATTGTTCAAAATCTTACCATCTGGATTCAGACAAGATGACAAGCCAGAATATGGCCTGAATTGCAGATTGTCATTGAACCATGTGGGAACACAGCCACACTAAAAATCTGTAATTTTTTAGCTGTGTACAGTCCACAGTTCACAACCCAGCAAGAAACCATGGTTTCTCTTCATGGTTTGTTTGTGGTGAACAAACCATGCTTGTTAGTATAGCTGGATTCACACAACACAAAAACCGACAATTTGACAACAACCCACAATGAACCCATACTTTGATTTGTTCTGTTGTGTGAATCCAGTCAACGTGGGGTCCAAGCCTCATTAATGGATTTTCTTGAAAGAAAGATGATGGGATGGCAAGTCCCAAGGAATGATATAGACCCAGGTGTGTTCAACTGTTTAGTCCTGAGCATCTGATGTGGTCATTGCTGGAGGGAGGTGCAAACAACTGGACACATGCACTTGTCTATAGTGCATGAGGAAAGGGATGGGAAAGCTCCCTCCCACACCCACTGAGATTCAGATGCCAGCCTCTCCACGTCCCTGTCCCCTCCCAGCTGTCTCCACAGAAGTGGCTGCTTCCACTCCGGGACTAGCAGCAGGCAAACCGCAGGATCAGAAGTGAGTGAGACTGGGAGCTGAGAGGGGCTCTCTCCCCCACCCGCCCCCTTGGCCTTGCAGTGTTCCCTCCAGCAATCTCAAAAATAAAGTTGGTGGGGATAGTGAAGGATTCAGCGGCAGCAAGAGGAGTCCGGGACACTCACGGGGGCCACACCCCCGGCCTTGTGGGGCTTGTGTACCCTGCAGGCCACAGATGGTGCACCCCTTTTATACACTGACACCTCTTCTGTAATCGCCAGGGGTTCTTCTCACCCTGAAAGACAGCACACACTCTTCTCAACTTCCTTTGGCGCCATCTTGCTCTGCCAGCACCATGGAGCTCCCTAAGGTAGGCCACGCTCGATATTGGATCTGTTCAGTAGGCGGACAAGAAGCACAGGAGGTGAAAGAAAACAGGGGTGTCTGTTATATCCTGTTTACCTGTGTGAAAAAAGTTCAGACTCCAGGGGGGCTTAGTTGAGAGCTTGAGTTAAGTTGTGTGGTGTACTATACCCTAAGTTTACAGTGGTTTTGTCAGCCTGGCTTCCCCAAGGAACCCTGAAATTTATAGGTATAGAATCATAAAACAGTAGAGATGGAAGGAGCCAAGAGGGCCATTATGTCCAATCCCCTTCCTCAGTGCAGGACTCTCAGTTAAACTATCCCTCCAGCTGCCTGTAGTGTGGGAGAGCCTACAACCTCCCCAGGTCATTGGTTCCATTGTGCATTGCTCAGAGACTGGAAGTTCATCCTGAAGTTCAGCTGGAATTTGGCTTCCTCTAACGAGCCCGTTATTCTGTGTCTTCAACTCTGGGATACCAAGAGATCTTGGCATTTCTCTTTGTGACAGCTTTTCAGGTACTTGAAGAGTGCTATCCTATCTCTCCTCAGCCTACTTGGGGTTAAGCGTGCCCAGTTCTTTCAATAATTGTGAAGTGGGGAGCTGGGCAGTTTTACAGGCCAGCAAATTCCAGAGCTCAGACTGGAAGGAGAGGAAAGTCAGAAGTCATGTCAGTTAAGCTTCTGTAAGTCTTTCGTCTACAGTCACTGCACATTTAGGCCAATTTCAAACCTTGCTGGTGAAGCAAGCTATATCACACCACCTTTCAAATGCAGGCATTTTCCAGCTCCGGAGACTGAAGGAGCTTCATACACAATGCAAGCGGAACATGAGTTTCAATGCTGGAAGAGTGATCAAGGCTTGTTAACTGATCAGGAAAAAGTAAAATCTGGGTTTTTTCCTTCTGTCTGTGCTGATGGTCAGTATATTTTCTGTGAAAGCCAGAAATACTGGCTGATGCCGTTTTAAAAAAATCAAACATAATTTTTGTTTTATCTAACTTCTATACTGCCCAACAGCTGACGCTCTCTAGGCAGTTTACAACAATCCATTAAAACACAGCCTAAAATGCACTGCAATATAAAAGATTAGGCAAAGAATTACCATACAAAAAATGAAAACCACATTTAAAATGCATCAAATTTCAATAACGTAAGCAAGTTAAAACCTGACTGAACCTGGATTAAACATTAACAAAGTCCCAACTAATTAAATGTCCTGTGGAAGAGGAAAGGTGAGACCTGGTGCCGAGAAGATAGCATGAATAATGCCAGGCAGGCCTCAGTGGGGAACTTGTTCCACAATTGGGCCGGCCATCACTGAAAAGGCCCTTTTCCTGGTTGCCACGAACTGAGCCTCCATTGGAGGTGGCAGCCACAGGCAGGCCCCAGCGGTTCATCGAAGCGTCCAGGGAGATGGAGGCTGGGAGAGGCGTTCCATCCCACCTGCACAGTGTTAGGACTTCACAGGTTAAAACCTGCACCTTAATGTGCCTGCTTCCGCTGCTTCGCCCAGATACACCCATGTGCACTGGGATTCTAGTCCAGCAGACTCCCTTCACGGAGCCTGTTGAGGTGAGGGAGGCAGAGCAGAGCAGCAGAAGAGCTGAATGGAAAGGGGGGGACATGCTCCTGGGAGAACACGGTTTACGTGGTCACAGCAGCCCCCGGTCTCTGCACCTGCTTCCCTGCTTAGCTCTTCCACTCAGTGCTGGCAACAAAGTGCAGCCTTACCCCATCCTATCTCTCAGCGAACAATGGAGAAAACAGAAAGCTGCTTTTATCTGAGCCCCTTTGCAATCCCCTGGAGCAGCTTTCTCTAGCTAGGTGTTCTCCAGGTGTGTTAGACTACAACTCCCATCAACCCTGGCCAGGAAAGCTGCTTAGAAGATGCCACACTCCACCCTGAGTCCCCAGAATATTTGTCAGGCAGCCAGTGGAGAACTGACTGTCGGGCAGCCAGTGCAACTCTCCGGGGATTTGGTGCTGTGGGGTTTTGGTTGTGGTGCTTTTTGGGAATTCACTGTGTCGACCTTTAAGGTGCAGGTGGCCTTTGAGGAGGTGGCCGTGCATTTCACAGAGCAGGAGTGGGCCTTGCTGGACGCAAGGGGAAGAGCCCTCTACTGGGAAGTCATGCAGGAGAACCACGAGCATGTGACTTCGCTGGGTAAGCCCCCCGCCAGCTCTCTCCTCCTGAACGACTGGAGACTCGGGCTCTCAAATGCCTGCAGGCTCCCCTTAAAGAGATTTGCTCAACAAATGTTGCTTAAAAAAGAAACCAGATTCCTTATCACTCTGGATGTTCTAGAAGTTAAATATCTGTAATTCTGTTACTTAGCTTTTCTCATTCCCATCCTAAGGCTTTATTATTATTTCTGATGTTCCTGCTACACTGCCTAAAGTCTGATGCCTTTCTTAGCAGGTAATGGTTCCCAACAAACTCGCCCCCAAATGAGAGACCCTTACGGTAGATTTCTGGGCTGTTCCCAAGAGAAGGACTCTTTAAATACTCATAAAAATGGCCAGAAGCCAGCAAGCCTGCATGAGAAGCAGTCAATGGAGAGGTTGGGTGAGTCAAAAGGAAGCAACAAGGCTGCAAACGGTCCTCCATCTGACGTGGTAGAGAGGAAGGATTCTTGTCCCAAGTGTGGAAAAAGCTTCTGTCATAAATCAGCACTCACAGCACATCTGAGAATCCACACAGGAGAAAAGCCATATCAGTGCCAGGAGTGTGGGAAAAGCTTCAACCAGAGCTCAGCCCTAACTCAGCATCAGAGAATCCACACTGGGGAGAAACCCTACGTCTGCCTCAGCTGTGGGAAGCGGTTCAGTCAAAGCTCGTCACTTTCTCAACACCAGCGATTTCATACTGGGGAGAGGGCTTACACGTGCCTCGACTGTGGGAAAAGCTTTGTTTACCAGTCGGCCCTGATTCGGCATCGGAGGATTCACACTGGAGAGAAATGCTATAAATGCCCTGACTGTGGAAAAGGCTTCAACCAAAGCTCCAACCTTATTACACACCGGAAAATTCATAATGGTGAGAAAATGCTTTTCCTGTCCTCTTCCTGGCTGTATTTTTACCCTTCGTGATAAGATGTGAAAGGCACTGGAAAGAACTTGAAGCATTGCTTGCAACAGCCATTCCCAGCCTGGTACCCTTCACATGTGTTAGCAGCCAGGAATGCTGTCTGTGGTCATCCTGATGGGAAATGATGGGACTTGCATTCCCACACGTGTGGAGGGGACCGGACTGGGGAAGGCGGCTTTAGAGCATCCAGAGCTCTTCATGTTTTATCTACAGCCTTTACCTTATTCCTGTTTGGGAAGCCTGCAGTTTCATCCTCGTGTTGCAGATGAGGCTGTGAATAAGAGAAGGATTCCTGACCCCGCTGCTGTGGCCACTGAGCACAAACTGTTATCTTTTTGGTGCCAGGTTAAGGCCTTCCTCTTCTCTCAGGCACTTGGCAGCATAAGAGGAGATTTTTAACCGGGCCTTAAATTGTTTGTCTGCCTTTGTGTGTGCTGTTTGTATGCTTGCACTTCAGTAGTTTTTATACTGTCTATAAGGTGTTTAGTCTTTGTAAGCTGCCCAGGGAGCTGGCTATTGGGCAGTATTAAAAGTGTAATAAATATGCTTAACTGCAAGGTCCAAAAGGAAGAGGGGGGGCAACCTCAACACAAAGTGTGTGCTCCCCCATGGAGGCATGGCCTTCCCTGACGTTGAGGAGTGAGCCAACAGAGAATGGTCTGCAAGCTACATTGGATACACAAATAGCTAGATTTGTGTAGTTTAGATCGCTAAACTACAATTTTAGGGATTTGTAGTTTCTAGTACCTCCACTATATATGTTCACCATTTCCTTTTCTCACTTTCTCTCTGTCACCCTGAAGGGAATGGGACAGTTTGTGGGAATGAGAAGAAGAATCAGCAACAGGAAGGTTACGAGAAATTAAAACCACATGGAATTGTTTGCAGGACATTTCAACAAGTTTCTCCTCAAAACCCTCAGCTGCAAAAGGATCCTCAGAACAGAGGACATTTGGGGAGCGATCCCTTAGAGAAGGCTCAGGGTCTTCCTGCTCCTGCCACAGGAAGCTTCATACCTCAGAAGGACAGCACAGTAAAGATAAGAGGCCGTAGAGTTAAGCGGTCACTTGTATGTGATGACTGTGGGAAGAACTTCAGGTACAGCTCCCACCTGGTCAACCACCAGAGGATCCACACGGGAGAGAAACCCTATCACTGCACGGACTGTGGGAAGTGCTTCATCCAGAGCTCAGCCCTCAAGAGGCACCAAAGGAGCCACAGAGGAGACAGGCCCTACCAGTGCGCTGACTGTGGGAAAAGCTTCAGCCGGAATTCGCACCTGGCCAAACACCGAGGGGTTCACACGGGAGAAAAACCCTACGAGTGCCTTGAGTGTAGGAAAAAGTTCAGTGTTAAGATGAACCTGGTGATTCATCAGCGCATCCACACAGGAGAGAAGCCATACGCCTGCTTGGAGTGTGGGAAATGCTTTAGCCAGCGCCCCCACTTCATTATCCACCGGAGAATCCACACAGGCGAGAAGCCTTACGAGTGCCCTGACTGTGGCAAGACTTTTCGCGTGAGCTCACACCTTGTTACACACCAGAGAATCCACACAGGGAAAACTTCCTTCATCTGTCCTGATTGTGGGAAAAGCTTTAATGGTAGCAAACAGTTTCTTCAGCATAAGAGGTCCCACACCACTCAGGAGGGCTGTCAGCCGCCCAGGGCAAGGATGCTGGTCAAAACTGAACTATCTGCTCCTGATGCTGTTCTTCCGGAAGGCAGTAGCAGCAGCCCTGGGACCGATAAGTGAGCTTCCATGGCTGCATTTAGCTAAGGCAGGGATCCCAAAACTTTTTGGGTCAGTAGGCATATTTAACATTTTGAGAATGTGTTGTGCTCTCACAAAATGGCTGTCGTGATGGGAGTGGCCACTCACAAAACATCCAGAAGACAAACTGGTGTGACTTAAAGAGAAGTAACTTGCCTAAATTCCTAAAGATAAGGCAGAGGTCAGGGTTCTATTTCAAAACATGAAAACACTCCTTTGAACCTACAGTTTTCTGCTCTAGCACTCATTTTTTCAAAAGGCAAACTTGTGAGGCTCAAAGGCAAGTAACACGGGCAAGAATATGAGTACAAAGCATAGGTAGGGTTTAAGCTCAAGGTGCTACATCACGTATTTGTCCCAGTAAAACAAAATGCTCTTTTCACAGGAAGCAAATTGGTGAAGCTCAGATCAACACACAACACACAGTTAAAACACCTGCCCAAACTAGGCCAAGCACATGTACCACACGCAAAATACAGGTAAAGCACTTTGCTCTTCCTCGAGTGCATGCATGTACACACTCAGAAGCACAGCCTATTCCTTGCTTCCCACCCTTTCTTGCCCTCTAGGACACCCTGCAAGCAGCAGAGGTTTCAGCTGACCAGCTCAGGACAGCAGCCCGTGGGTCTACTGGCATGTGGAAAATCAACAAATCTATGTTTTCTCCTCCTCGTTTCATACCATACAAGGTTGGAAAGGATTTTCCTCTGGTAGAGACCTGCAAAGTTTGTGCAATGTTTGTGTTCCTCCCTGAAGCTAACGTGGCATGTGCCTGCAATAAAGGTAAATCAGGTTGCACTATCAGAAGAAGAAGCGAGAGGCTTGAGTGGCAGGTGCCCATCCACCAAGGAATAAGAGCAAGCGAATTGTGCTTGGACACAACAGTGGAACTCCACGAACAACAAGAACCACCAGAGCTGGAAGAGGACCAGCAAGCTGCAGCAGATACGAGATTGCTGAGATGAGGAAAGCCAGTGAAGGGAAACTCCCTGGAGAAAGGTGACGGATCAGAGCAGAAGAACCTGGAGAAACTCTGCTCCAGCGGAACCGCTAGGGCTGAGTAACTGCTTTCAGCTACTGGAGGACGTGTCTGAACAGTGGGCGGCCTGCAGAGGAGGAATGAACAAGGGCACCTGTGCGATGCAGAGCACGATGCAGAAAGACTGTTGGCCAAGAAAACGCCAAAAGTGGCCATTGTGGCAGACCCCTTGTTGCATGGGATTGAAACCCAATGACCCATGGACTGGCCAGGTGTGCTGTCTCCCCGGAGCTTGGATTAAGGATGTGAGTGAAAGATTGTCAAAGCTCATAAAGCCCATAGACATCTATCCCTTTTTACTAATCCATGCGGGAACAAATGCTAGTGCCAAATCGAGCTACAAAAATCACATCAGATTTTGAAGCTTTGGGAAGGAAACATAAGAACGTTGGGATCCAGATAGTGTTCTCACCTAGCCTCCCAGATCTTAGAAGAGGATTAGACGGGGAAAGAAGAACACTCCAGGGGAACAGCTGGCTGGGAAGGTGATACCAGCATAAGAGATTTGGATTTTGGTACCACAGACTACACAGACTACTTGGAAGATGGATTGCTAGCAAGGGACGGGTCGCACGACACCAGAGCTGGAAAGAATGTGTTTGACCACAGTATTTCATCAGGAGGGCTTTAAACCCAGTCTGATCATGGAGAGAGATGATAACTTGGGGACAAGAGTATATGAAGGCTTATGTATCATAACAGAAGAACTTTAGTAGTGCCCCCAGTTTGTCTTCTCAGTAACATAGGAAAGAAGCCAGAGCATAAAAACACAAAGGCTTCAGTGTCTATACACTAATGCCCAGATAGTATGGAAAACAAACAGAATGAACTCTTAACATATGAAGGCAAATACAGCTTGATAGGTATTACTGAAAATTGGTGGGAGGTTCCTATGACTGGAATATAGCGACTGAAGGATAACTTGTTCAAAAAGTAAAGAAGAAATAGGAAATGAGGCAGTTGCGTTATATGTTTAAATTACTTATCCTTGCATTGAAATACAAGATGAGTCTGGTAGCATACGGGACAGAATAAATATGTCAAGAAAGAAAAGGAACATGACAGTCAAGAGGGTACTGCTGACCACCCAATCAAGGAGAAGATGAGGATGAAACCTTTGTTAAGCAAATTGCGAATAGTTCAAAGAAGTAGTAATGGGGGACTTCAGTTACCCAGATATCTGAGGGGAAACACATTCTAGCAAAAGTGGTCCCTCCAAGAAATTCTTGACATGCATGGCAGATAAATTTCTTCTACGGAAAGTAGAGGTAGGAACTAGAAGAGCAGCTGTCCTTGACTTAATACTGATGAATTGGGATGACTTAGTGGATCAAGTGGAAGGTATGGGGACTCTGAGGGAAAGTGACTGCAACATACTTGAGTTCTTGATTTTAAGGAAAGAAAAAATGGAGCATAACCATACATGTACTCCGGATTTTAGGAAAGCCAATTTTAATAAACTCATGACAAGTACAAACCAATGGTGAGTGCCCCTAAGGGAAAATAGAGTCCAAAATGGGTGGGAATTTATAAAAAGGGAAAATTTAAAGGCACAATTTTAAACAATTCCAACAAAAATAAAAGCAGATGACAGAAGAAACCAAGATGGCTTTACCAAAAAAAAAAAAAAATGAGTTGACCTAAAAACAAAAAAGGCTGTATATAGGAAGGAAACAGAGTACAGACAAATACAGAAGAAGAGAACAGACAAATGTCACAGAAATGCAGGGATGATATCAGAAAGGTAACGCTGAGAATGAGCTGAGGCTATCAAGGGATGCTAAAAGCAGCAGCAGCAATAAAAAACCTTTCGGGTATGTTCACAGTAAAAGACAGAAAAGAGATGGTGGCTCAGCTTCTCAGTGAGGAGGGCAAAGCAATAACGGAGGACAAAGGCCACAGTGTCCAGTTCCAACTTTGGCTCAGTCTTTTCCCCAAGACGGCTCTATGACCATCCTGGAAAAACATGAAGGGTACGAACTTAAGGGTCAGGATTGAATCTCGAGATTAATAAACACATGATCAAGGAACACCCAGTTTATTTGAATGAGCTCAGTTCTCCAGGACCTGATGAACTGCTTCCTAGAATAATAAAGGAACTGGCAGGAGAATTCTCAGAACCACAGTTTATTATCCCTCAGAAATCGTGCCACACGAGTGAAATGCAAATGACTTGGAGAAGTGCTAATGTCCCTATCTTTACGAAGGGCAAAGGGAGAATCCTGGGAACTAGAGACCCACCAGTCTGATATCAATCCCTTGGAAAATTCTGGAGCAGATAATAAAGTCAGTTGAAGCACCTTGAAGACAATGGAATAATTACTAGAAGCCAGCTTGGATTTATCAAGAACAAGTCTTGCCCAACTAATCTGATCTCATTTTTTGTGGACTGTGGGGAGTGCTGTGGACATAATATATCTTGTTTTCAGCAAAGCTTTTGACAAAGTGCCCCATGACACTCTGCTCTGAAAACTAGCTAAACATGGCTAGGTGGATCCAAAATGGCTACAGAACTGGACTCAGGAATGCTTCTCGATGGCGCCTTCTCAGGCCCGGGAGAGGTACTGCAAGGCTCAGTCCTGGGCCCAGGGCTCTTTAGCATTTGTATTAATACTTTGCATGAGGAGGTGCAGGGAAAGCTGATCAGTTTTTCAGATGACACAAAATTGAGTGTGATAGCAAATACCTTGGAAGACAAAACCAAAATTCAAAATGATCTTGATAGGCTGAAAGCAACAGAATGAAATTCAACAGGGACAAATGCCAAATTCTGCATCTAGGAAAAGAGAACCAAATGGACAATTACAAGATGGGACATAATTGACTCAAAAATACCACAAACAAAAAGGACCTCAGAATCAGTGTAGATCACAAGCTGAAATATGAGTCAACAACTTGGTTTGGTTACAGAAAAGGCAAGTGCTGAATTGCGCTGCATTAATAGAAAATAAAGCTTCCAAATCATGTGTCCAATTCTGAGCACCACAATTTAAGAAAGATGCAGACAAGCTGGAAAGGGTTCAGGGGAGGGCAAAATGAATGATCCAGGACCGCAAACAAAGCCCTGTGCGGAGCGATTGAAAGAACCAGGCATGTTCAGCCCATGTCAGGAATTCTTTAACTGGTGTCCTGCACTGAGCAGGAGATTGGTCTCAATAACCTTAGAAGCCCCTTCTAACTTTTCTGTTCTATGATTCCATCCCAGCTTACCCTTTTTTCCCCCCCGGCTAGCTGGATGTGCTAGATTTTAAAAGCCCAAGTCTCCAGACTTAAAAGGGTGAGTGCGAGAGCTGTGATTTTGAGCCATTATCATCATCTGGTGAAGTCACACCACTTTCCTTGCTCACTATTTTTTTTTTCTGGAGCTTATTCTTGAAAATAAAGGTGGTAATGGAGGCCAGGACATTGCCTGACATCATGTTAGTTCCCAGATTTTTAAAAGTAATAAAATAGGCAGGTCAAGGGGCCTGGTGGACACCAAGAGAATTGTCTGTGGGTATATGGGGACCCACAGATAACACACTGGGCACCCCAAGACAAAGACAAATGCAGGGAAACCTTTGCCAGTTCTCTGTTAAAAATCTGTTCTGTGCTTTGAGCTGAAATTAAGGTGATTGGAGGGAAATTTTTTACTCCAGTTTCAAACTTGAGTGCTACAGTTGAGAACCAGTAGTGGTAGATCAGGTCGGGACTTGGCCCGGGGAGGGAGTTGGTTTCATTTCCTCGTTCTGCTCTGGCATTTGCTAGTGACTTTGACCCAATCATGTTAATCTAACCTACTTTGCAGGGTTGTTGTGCAGGTGAAATGAAGAGAAGACTTATATAAATTTAAGTTCCTTAGAGGGAGGATAAGATAGCAATACAGTAAACAAAGAATATGCTGCACTATTCCTAGAGGGACAGTATTGGGCAGAATTAGCAGGCGATTCTTCCCTGCCCTGTGAATACTCTCAAGAACTGGGGAAGGACAGCTGGTACCACTGACCCAAAAGTTGGATTCCTGCATGGGCTCTCTTGACGGCTGCAAGTGGCAGAGCATGAGAGTAGAGGCAGGGGGGGCCAGAGGCCACTTTGTTTGCTAGTGCACAGAAGAACACCAGTTGCAAGGCAGTGGAGGAAGTGGGAGGTGAACTTGTGGGGTTTTCCTGGCACAAGGGATTTTGCTGCCCAAGGTGAAGGGCAGGATGGCACCGGCCCTCTTCCCCCGTACATGATCCGGCCTGATCACAGCTGAATCTTGTCTCGAGCGTGGCAAGAAGACGGCAGCGGCCGCCGCACCTCAGGTCTGCAGGTTCACCTAGGAGGGCGATGGGGGAACCTGTGGCCACACACTAGCCAGAGGCAGCCCTCGCACCCTGCCTCATGCCTTGACTCATGGAGAACATTTATTTTCCTTTTTAGATTGGCTGTGTTTTGTGCTTGTTCCCTGCAATTGAAATAAATTATCTTTCTCTCATAAGCTGGATTCAGAAGGTCTTTAACAGTGCAGAAAGCAGCTATGCTGTATCTCGCCCCCCCCCCAAATTTGAGTTGACATGTTTGCACTCTGCCATCACAACAAGAAGAAAATCCAACACCGTGGAAAAACAGTTTGATGATCCTATTTAGCCTGATTCGAGGGTTCTGCATTCTCTAATCTAGAGAATGCAATTTTAGCAGGAGGGGTTCTTGCAGGTGAAGTTTTAGGAGGCAGTTTGGTTTAGAGCAGGGGTCTCAAACTCGCGGCCCGCGGGCCAATTGCCGGGATGGCGGGGCACGGGGGAGGGGCCCTGCGGCCTTCAAAGCGCCGGCGGCACCCGGGCCGGCCTCCGGGAGCCACGCGGGATGAGCGGCCCCCACCACCGCGTGGTGGAATACTTGATGCGGCCCGGCCTCACCCAGACTCTACCTCCAGCGGCCCCCAGGTAAGTTGAGTTTGAGACTCCTGGTTTAGATTTTTACGTGGAAGATCCAGGCTTTAAAATGCCATTTTGAGTGTCGGAGTGCTGTTTTTATGCATTGTTTTTAATTTCAGATTTATTATTTCCCCCGTTTCCTTAACCATTTTTGAGTGGTCACTGGAAAAAGGAAGCATGTTATAGATTTTAACATCAAATAACATTATTGTTAAAGCAGTTCCATTATTTCAAATACACATCTAGACCTGCCTTCTCCATATGTACTGAATCCTTCCTGCATCTCGGAATGAGACTTGGATCACTTTAATATGCCTAGGAGAGCCATGTGGCCTAGTGGTTAGAGTGGGGCAGCAGGAGAGGAGCGATCCAGGTTCTAGTCCCTGCTAAGCCATGAAGCCCACTGAGAGACGGGCCCAATCACAGGGAGGTGGTTTTAAGGATAAAATGGGGCCACTTTTTCAGAATGGAAGGGATCCTTTTGCAGGGGCACCGATGGATCCGCAGCAGCATCCTCTTCAGCTTGGCAGCTGCATCCGCATAGTTGGCTTGGAGACACATGGGGGTGGGGAGGAAGGACCCCATCCCCAAGCTCCCCCGCTCCCATTTCCTTCCTCTGAGTGCTTGATACCTGTGACACCTATAAGGAAACACTTTTCACATACAGACCAAGAACTGGAAGTTTAAAAGGTGCTGCAGATTTACTTAAAAGCTAATTCTTAAAAGCTAAAACAAGAGGAGTTGGCTCTGGAGAAAAACGGTTCCGGTAGGGGCCATCCATGCAAAACGAGTGAGGCTTGAATTACTTCGGCAGGCATAGGAGAGTCTGGTGGGACCAGAGCGATGCCAGTTCTAGTCCCTGCCCGGCCGTGAGGTCCACTCGGTGGCTTTGGGTTGGTCACTGACTCACAGCCGAACTTACCTCACAGGGCTCTTGTGAGAAGGAAATGGAGAGGAGTATTCTGGGTTCTTTGGAAAAGATACGACGGGGCGTAACTGTAATAATAAATGCATCATAAGGTATTAATGAATGGAACAGCTGTTCCCGATGCAGCCCTTGGAGCCCTGGGGCGTCTCTCTCCTCCCCAGCTGTCATACGATCGAGCATCAGCTCGGTGGCAAGGAACAGGGTGACCTGGATTGAGGTTGCAATGGGCATTCCAAGTAATATTCCTCGAATGCTAATTTAAGTAACTGGTTAGTCTGCCTGTACATACTTATGGGCAGCCGCCCCATCTGAACGGTTAATGATTGTGGACAACAGAGTGTGCAGCAGACAAGGCTCAAGAGGCAAGACCTGGGGCAAACCCAACTCCGTCCCCTTACCTGCTCTGGCGACACAGTCACAGGGCCCCCGTGGAGGGTTGCCGCCAGTGTCCCACCACAGGCAGCTGGTGGCAGGCGGGGTGGGGGGGCTGCTGCCCATACATGTGCCCACACTGCAGAACAGGCGTCCACACGACAGGGACTAGCAGTTCTTGGAGGAAACGTGAATGGAAACGCTTGTTTCCCAAATGGGGTAGGTTGGAGCGGCTCCCTCACTCTAATGATAGCCCTGATCCAGAAACTATCATTATCTTATTTCTGGTGTGCGTGTGTGTGTGTGGGGGGGGAGGGTCAGGAACTGCTTGTTTCTGACATTTTTTGCTCTGTTCTGCCATGAAGGGGACAATATAAAATAGGGACCGTGGGCAGTGCCCCCTCCTATTTTTCTCTTTTTTCCCCCTCCTATTTTCCTTAAAAAAATATTACCTCTTCCTGCAAGAAACCCAAAGACACTTACACAACCGTCCTCTCCCTTTTATTCATGCAACAGCCCTGTGAGGGAGAGGAAGTTGAAGGGGGAGAGACCGCGTCAGACTTGCAGCAGAAATCTCTCCTGGGCACAGGCTCCTTGGAAGCACCCCCGGCAGCAGGGAAGCAGACATCCCAGGGGCTCTGCCCAAAAGCCCTGGATAAGGCAGTTGCCCCATTCTTATTGGCAGCTGCTTCCTGGTCACTGCAGGGGCCTAACACGCCCGTGGACCGGACCGGTGTTGCTGCCATTAGCAGTGCAGAAGCCGCGAGGCCAAGAGGCAGGGGGAAGGCGAGGGGACGATTTGGCGTGAATCCATGCACGAGGGCCGCACAACTCTCATTCGCTTGCCGTCAGTGGCTTGTGGCTCGTGTGTCCCTTACCCTGCTGCAGTCCACGTGAGACAAACAGGCCTGTTTCTGTGACAAATCAGAAAAGGGGCTATTCAAACAAATTACGCAGGAACACTTCAACTTCTTGAGACATTGCCAGTGATGCTCAGATGGCCATTCTTGAACAAAGGCATTTAAAGATAGAGATACCAGTGTAAAAATGCTGAAGCACAATTTGTCAAGAGAGCCAGTTGTGTCCTGTGTCCTGTGTCCTGAGCAAGGACAAAGCTGTATTTTAAGTTCACTGCTATGTATTTTAAATGACTGAATGCATCTTAGGCCACTTCCAAGCACAATCAACGTTCAGATTCTTTTGATATAGTATACCCTGGAATGATATGACTGGGTTTTAGATTGGAGGAAAGGCGCTGACAATATCCCTTTATGCAAATGAAATGGCTTTAATTTGGCTAGTCCATTCCAGTTCCTTAGTAATGTATTGAATATGATAAAAAGATGTAGGCTACAAACCTGTGGTCCCTGGGAGGGCCCTTCAGCTTACAGGAAACTTTCTGATAGAATCATATACTTCTGTCCAAAACCCCAAGATATGATTAGCCTTATGAACAGCTTGCTAGATTAACCCACAATGGTTCCTCTGGATGCAGCTGTCTGTGTGAATCCTGCATACTCTCTGATAGGAGGAGTCCCAAAAGAGCTTTGGGTGAGCTCTAGCAATAACAGTCAAGAAATTTTCCTGATATGCAGTTGGAAACGGGCTTCCTGTAACTTGAGCCTCTTGTACTGTGTCCTTCACTCTAGGATCTATTAATAGCATTTGCCCTTTTTGCAGCCACATCACGCGGTTGACTCATAGTCCGCTTGTGAGCTACAACAATTCTAAGATCCGTCTCACTTGCAGTATTGTTGAGCCAAGTATCCCCGATCTTGGAACTATCTATTAGGTTTCCTGTTCTTTTAGGTGCAGAACTTGGCATTGGTTCCTATTTCACGGTAGCACAATGCGATCTTCTAGAAAAACTAAACAAGTACCATCTGGCCATTTGAACAGCAGTTAAAATTCAATTATATGACTAGCTACTCCTGTGCACAGTTCAAATAATATTGACACATTTACAAAAAAAAAAAAATGGATGTCAAGAAAAGCCAGTGATCACCTTTACAAGACATAGGAACATGGGAGAGATCATGTCAAGAAAAGCCCACGGTCGCCTTTAAAGGGAATAGAAACATGTGAAATTTGTCAGGAGGGACGTTAGGGAGAACAAAGAGACACAATCCTAAATTCTATCATGGGGGCAGGGGGGGGGTCATGCCCTTGCTGGACTCTGTCCTTACTGCAGACTCACTTGCCATGTGATGGAGTTTACAGATGCTTCCAATCATAAACAGCATTTCCTGAAGGAGCAAGCCTAGGCCTGTTTAGACAGAACTTCCAGCCTTCCACTGGACAACCGTACTGGTCGGGGCATCCTGGGAATTACAGGCTGCTTTTTCATGGTTAGAACTGTGCCAGAAGACACTTCATGGCACATTAACATTAGTAATTCCCTGTATCATTAATATCATGCAGTGTCCATGTGAGGAATTTTACTTTGGAAAAATGTCAAGGATTCTCAGGAAAAAGACAGGGAAACATCTCCGTACATTAGATAAAAGAAACTGGACACCACACTAGAAAAAAAAAATTATACTGTATTAGAAGACAAGTTCTGGGCAGTAGAAAAAAATAGAAATACACAGAAAATAACAAGGCCCAATATAGAAAGGAAGAGTAGTGGGTTTGATGGCTTAAAACTTTGGCCCCTCAAGCCCTTAATGATGAATAAGATGTTTTCCTCCAGTTTTAATTCAGGCTTTCACACAATTGAGATGACACAAAATTGGGTGGGAGATCTAATCTCCTGGAAGACAGGACCAAAGTACTCTTGATAGGTTGGAGTACTGGGCTAAAATCAACAGAGAGGGATTTAATAGAAACAGATGTGAACTTCTGCACTTAAGAAAAAGAAACCGAATGCATCATTACAAGATGGGGGATATTTGGCTCAACCAAACTACAAGCAAGAAGGACCTTGGAATTGTTGATCACCAGCTGAATATGAATCACCCATGTGATGTGGCTAGTAAAAAGGGGAAATGCTATTTTGGGCTGCATTAAGAGAAATATTGATTCCAAATCACATGAAGTACTAGCTCTCCTCTCCTCTACTCTCATTTGAGGACTCTGCCTAGTTCTGGACACCACAGCTGAAGGAAGATGCAGACAGACTGGAAACAGTTCAGAGGAGGATTAGAAAGATGATCTGTATGAGGAGAGACTGAAAAAATCGGCAGGTTGAACCCTGAGAAGAAGGGACATGCTGGCTCTCTTACAGTACTTGAAAGGGTGTCAGACAGAGGGCAGGTTCTCAGTCATCCCAGAGTGCAGCACATGGAATCTTCCTCTCTCTCTCTTTCTTAGATTTATTTCCTCTCTTCCTCCTGCTCTCAAACTTATGCCCACAACAGCCTTGTGAGGTTCGGCCAAGAGTCTGTGACTGGCCCAAAGTCACCCAGTTGGTTCCATGGCTGAGCAGGGACTAGAACCCAGTTCTCCTAAGTCCCAGCCCCACACTCTTCACCACTACACCATAATGGACCCAAGTCCCAGGAAGCCAAATTCCAGCTGGGCATCCTATTAGAGGAGGACAACAATGGAACCAATTACTATGGAGTTCATGGGCTTCCCACATTGGAAGCATTCAAGATGCAGCTGGACAGCCATCTGAACTTGGAAGTCTGCATTGGACTCAGTAGTTCGACGCAATGGCCTTATGGGTCCCTTCCAACTCTGCTATTCTATGATCTGTGAACTCTGGGAATGCTTCCTTGGGTCTTCTGTCCAGTTGGATAATTACAGAAAACAAATGTGTGCTTAGATAGCCTAGCATATTCCCAACTTAGCTCTCCAATATTGCTAGCATCTGAGAGGGTACTGCTCACATCCAGGTCCAGGATAATCTGATGCCTTCTTGACATTCCTAAGTTCAGGATATTTAGCACAGGATATTGAATCTGATGCCTTCCTAAATTTTACCATTTATTGAAGAGATCTTCCAAGTTCTAAGAAGGCAGTTTTAAAGCTAGTAGGTATGCAAGTCATGGACACTGTGTATTGAATTACTTGCTGCTGCTTATTCCTCTTTTTAAGAACTTTAATCATACCTTTTATCACTCCTGAAGAATGCCCCTAAAAACAATACACTTTGTGTTGGACTTTACTAAAATAAAAATTTCCAGTGTCTTCGATTCTCTTTCTGGAGATCTGGAATACAGAAAGGAAAAACAGTCCTGCATTAGGATCAAGTATTTTACTGCTGACTCTACTCATTAAATACCACAAAATCTTGCCTCTTATCCACTCCCAGGTTGAGTTCCTTTTGGGATTATCTGCTTGAGGTGGTAAGGATTCAAAAGTGGCCTAGTTCAGCTTTCCCCAGTGACTTCCTCCAGATATTTGGAACAATAAAATCCACCAGCAGCTGTCTGCAAGGCCAGTGGTAAGGTCTGATCAACACTATTTTATTTATTTATTTAAAACATTTCTATGCCACCCCATCGCAACAAAGCCTCAGGGCGGCTCACAAAAAATACATAAAAGCATACATAAACAATAACAATATAACAATTTAAAAGAAAAAAAATTTAAAAGCCCTGGTGCATTCTCGGCTAATTTTAAAATCCTAATAAATACGATAATTTAGCAATTAAAATAAGTTTTAAATAAAAAGGTCTTAGCCTGGCGCCGAAAAACAAATAATGACGGTGCCAGGCGGACCTCTCTGGGGAGCGCATTCCATAGATGGGGCACCACCGCAGAGAAGGCCCTCCTCCGGGTACTCACCCTCCTAATATCAGTCACAGAGGGTTCCCAGAGAAGGGCATCCGTTGCTGATCTCAAGGGGCGGGAGGGCATATATGGGAGCAAGCGTTCCTTTAAGTATCCAGGTCCCAAGCCGTTTAGGGCTTTATAGGTGATAACCAACACCTTGAATTGGGCCCGGACTTCAGTCGGGAGCCAGTGGAGCTGACGAGAACTGGGCGTTGCTCTCATATAACCCCAGTTCTCCGTC